AAATTTCCGAATTCCCAGGGTACGATGAACCGACTCCTTTTCTGATGATGCACAGTGAGTAGTAAGGTGACCAAAATTCTACATCATTATCATCATCATCATCATCATCATCATCATCATCATCATCATTATCATCATCATCATCATCATTATCATCATCATCATCATCATCATCATCATCATCATCATCATCATCATCATCATCATCATCATCATCATCATCATCATCATCATCATCATCATCATCATCATCNATTATTATTATTATTTTTAGTATTTTTATTATTATTACCGATATAAGCATTACAACAACAATATAACTACAAGTATTATAGCAACGGCCACTGTTACTACTGTTTAATTATTTGTTAATGCTAATTGATATACGTAACACACTGACCGCTTGTTCACCCAGGCATTCAGTTGAAATGTTAATCGATTTTTACCGCTGTTTTGCAACAAGTTCGATTGCATAAACAGATTGTGTTTAGCATTACTAATATTAATAATATTTTATCTTAAAGTTGATATTAAGTTACAAGAAATAATCTGTAAAATTTGGATATTGAAGAAAAAGGAAAGACGCATGTAGAAAAGCAAGCCGGATGTGAGACGTACCGATTTTTCAGTAGCTGAACTGGAGGAGTTCTAGCCAATTAAATTCACGGCTATTGTCTTTTCCCTAAGGTGTTCCTTTAGCAAGCTTTCCTCCGTAGTTTTCGATCCAGCTTGTGCCCGAAGTCCGCTACTTGTAATAAAAGTGCCTAGAGGCCCCGAAAAAGACAGTTAACAATAACCCCTCCAACGATGGACTAGGTAATTATAGTTCGTCTTTGGTACCTTATGGTCCTCCACGGGGCGAGCTCACAGTTTTTTACTTTTACCTTCGAACGGTCAACTGGATAGTTGTAGTCCGCCTCTGTTATCATACGATCCTCCACGAGTGTAGTTCTAATTTTGCTTCGAACATCTTGCGCTGGTTCTTTGCGTGTAGGACTTGGATATTCAGAACGAAAGTAAGTTGTTTAAGAATTATAAGCTTTCTGACTTTTCTTCTTTCCATTGCGGATGTAACTTCTAGGGCTTGCACCGTTACTCGTGATGGTATCGGTAGCCTCTAAACTTTTTGGAAATTATTAACAAGCAGGTTTTCTGCGTAAACTGTAAGGTAGGCTGTCGAGACAGTAGTGGTAGCCTCCAGATTTGTTGTGAATTAAAATACACCTTGTTGTCTGCGTAAACAGTAAGGAATGCACCAATACTCCGGATGGTAGTGGTTGGCCTCTAGATTGCGAAACTAAACGCAGGTAGTAGTGATAACTTCTAGCTGTGTCGCGAGTAGTTAAACATTATTCTTAAGTGTACAGCGCTCGTCACTACAGCAGCCACTCTGAACGGTTGAAACTTGATGGCCCGCTCAGAAATATTTGTGTCCCTTCGCTCAGATAGACGAAGACGACTACGACTTCTAGTTTTTACCACATTCTATTGAAGATTTCTTAGCCCTGCGTCTCACCTACGCGCTCTGTGTACATCCTGGGTTGTAAAACGCAAGCTTAGACCCAAATAACACGTTGTGCTGACGTAACACTAAATTTAGCTTCGTAATTCAGTAATTCAGTGTATAGTTATTTTTGCATTGCTTGTTCACGTACCTTTCTCTGTAATTATTGTTTGATAATTTTTATTTATAACAAATTGTTATCATAATTTCTTATTTTGTTTTATAAGTTTTCATTTTTTAGTCTTCAATGTTGATATTTTAATTTATTTATAAAATAGAATTAGCAAACAAAGTAGATTATATTTGCTTCATTGTAAGATCAAAGAAAAAAGTTAATGAAAATAGCAGTTAATCATAATATAAATCGAGAAAACTTAAGTTAAATACTTTAAAACTGTCAGTAATGATCGAAGTAAAATGGTAAAAGTGTCACAAACCGGTTTTTCGTGTCGAAAATCGACGAAATGTTGAATTTATCACCAAGTGGACTGTATAGTGTGCTAGCATGCTTGGACTTGAGAATAACTATGAGAAACAGGAAGCTTTTAGTGGTTCAGCATAGGGAAGAAAAAGAAATACTTTCTTTTTTCACTCAACAAGAGATCATTACTGTATTTAACAAATCTTAAAATGAAAGATGTAATAACAATTTGTAGTAAAAATACTCTTAAATTTCCAGGTACTAGATTAACTGGAAAAGGTAATATATTTACATCTTTCTGATACCTGAACTATTGGCTCCTATGAAAGAAAAGATGAAAGTCACTACCAGCAGCACTTAGCAAGCAAGCTTTTACAAGCAGCAAGCTCTCAAGGCAGGCTGCCTGCACAGATGCTGTTAGCCTTTTTTCTCGCTCTCTTTCTCGGACCGTATTGGCCAATTGCTTACATGCTTGTAAGTTTAAAATTGATGTCTTTCAAAGTATACTGGCATGAAATTCGTGTCTAAATGAAAGCCAGATTTTGAGGTGCAATATTTTAAAACAAATAATGTAATAAAGAAGTTTATTTCAAAATGATGTTAACTAACATTATACATTTTTTTACACCTAGGTGTAGTTAACTACACATGCTTGTGTGATTACAATCAATTTGAACTTAAGTGCAGTTAATATGGTAATTTTGAAAAGTAAGCTTTGTGCTGTAAGAGGACGAAAAAAATATGCTATATTAACTTTATTGATCCCGTGGTATCTTTGCAAATTTAAAATAAACGAACGGTCTTGAACCGCTACATTTGTAATCTAATATGTTCCTTCGCTTAAGGTATTTGAAGAAAAATACGTAAAGCCACTACATTTGCATGTGTATTTCTCTATACAGTTCCTACACAAGTCAGGCATGGTTACAACAAGTGTTCTGTGTTTTGGTAAAAATTTCTTTGGTTGTACCGTACACATCCGTTTTATCTCGATGTTCCAGTGCTGTACTTGTTAATCTGAAGGAATTTGACATTTTTTGATTTTGAGATTCACGCATGGTATTCCACAGTCTCATATTTAGATGTCCACCTTAAAAATTATCAAAGAGTATACAACAATCAGCAAAATATTGAATAAGTTTTCTAAAATACGAGAAAAACGACGTTGACAGCTTGTTAAAACAATTTTGCTAAAACTCTTTTGTATTTTAAAGTTGCCGCTTATTACTGACTGAACAATAGTAACTTTGTAGGAAAAAAACAAGGAAAAAATGTTCTAGGCTGGCCAGGAGTACAAAAACATTCAGTCATTGGTAGAGTCTATGATTTATACCACCCAATCGTAGTGCTTGAATCTCTAAACGTTACCCAATATGTTTGAGGCTCAGCTCCATTCTAGTACTTAAAAACCGTTGATGATGTTACTTATCGAACTTGTAATGCTGCCTGCCATGCACTTGGTTTATTGGGAAATGTTGATTAATGGAAAAAAAATACTCGTATATGCTGCTTCGTCTAAAAATCCATCTAAATAACGTGACTTATTCGCATCAGTTATTTTAGTTTCTTGCTTACTGTAGAAACATTAATATTAATCTAATGTTGGCAACAGAAAGGTCTACGAAAAAACTTCCTTTGGTTGTTGCATCTTCTGGCATTGCTGTCATTTTCTTGTGTAGAGGAAGAACGGCTTACTCTACTTTTAAGCTTTTCTTAAATGTTTTTCTGAAGAAAATTACACGTGCCCACTACGAAAAAATGGCACTCTTGGAAAAATTGTTTGAGATAAAATACTTATTGTATGAAAAGTATGCACAAGGAGTCACAGAGCTCTTATTAAAACAATGAATATAAATTACAAGATATTGAATAACAATAAAAATTAATGTGGCATCAAATTTGTTTTTGCTAGTGATTTTAGGCAGTCGTTAATATTCATCCCGAAAAAAACTAGATCTTATATCATATATGCCTGTTTAAAATCATTTCTCTGGTATAAAGTGGAGTCTTTTTCTTGAAGTGGAAACACATAATTTCTATTACAGCTGTTAAAATTGTCAATGGCACAGTGGAAAACAAAAACGGGTTAAGCTGGAAAGCTGGTTACAACTGTCGATAATATAATTTCTGAAGTTTCCCGGTCATTGAGAATTTATCAAACAAATCGTACCAAAATTTTGTGAGAGAGCCGTAATTTCACTGAGAAGTTCTACAGCAGAGGAAAATAATAACAATATTCCTCAAAAGTTTGCAGCTGATTTTCTAAAGTACCTGTCTATTGATTAAGTCATTGCAACTGAAAGTATTGTTAATAATCCTCAAGAATTTTTAAATTTCTAACGCCGTCAGGATTTCTCTTCCATAAGTTGAGCTTAACAGTTGGATATCCGATTATGCTATCGCGTAACATTCAACCCTAAAACCTATGTCATAAGACCAATTTTTAACTTAAACTTTTGCGAAATAATGTTATAGAAGCTATTATTTTAACAGGTCAGCATCAGAAATTATAGCTTTTATTTCTAGAATTTGGATGATACCGCTCAAGCGTTGACAGTTTCCTATCCAAGTTTCTTTGACCATAACAGTTAAGAAGTCAGAATAGATTTATGATTTTGTGAACGTAGATTTAAGATCAAACTGGTTTTAATATGGACGTAAGAAAGTGCAAATTAAAGGAAATTTTTAATAACTATTTTATAATGAAATGTAATCACAGTACTTTTTAGCATCATTTTATTTTTTTATTTTTTTACAGCTTATTATTGAATCAAAACTGCATAGGGCCCAGACACAAATTTCCTCAATTAGAATTTTTTGTCTCTAAAAAGAGTCCAAGTTTTCTACTGGAAATGTTTTACATCACGTGTCAACACATGTTAGGGAATCTTGGCTTAAGCCAAGACGGATCTGCTAGTGTAAAATATACGATACGGGCACATTCTATACGTAACATAGAAGTGCCTAATATTTTATTAGTATACGTGGATGGTTATAGTGTCTAGGATGTATTAAATACTAAAAGCACAATTTTTTCGTTGGTTGTTTTTTTGATAAACTTTTTTTTTATTACAGCACGATTTTCCATCTGACTGTAAACCTGGTGGCCTCAACGGTAACTATATAATGTTTGCATCGGCAACTTCAGGCGATCGGCCAAATAACAGCAAGTTTAGCAAGTGCAGTATTGGCAATATTAGCAATGTACTTGACGCTATTGTTGACAACAAGAAACGTAATTGCTTCAACGTGTCAGCAGGTGCCTTTTGTGGCAACAAAATTGTTGAAGCTGGAGAAGAATGTGATTGTGGTTACGATGATGACGAGTGTATTGATAAATGCTGCTACCCCCGCCAAGTTTCAGTAATCGACCGTATAAAAAACCAGACAGCGAAAGGTTGTAACAGGAGACAAAGTACTCAGTGCAGGTAGGCAACACATTTATCATGCTTCTAAAAATATTTTTTAATTCATGTGGTTAAAATACATTAGTAAAATTTATGTGTTTCTAACGAAATTTTGGTTGCACTGTATAAAATATTCTGGTACATATACTTTTTATACAATTCATAGCTTAGGATTAGAATAATAGAAGAAAGTTTAGATCCCGCATATCCCTAATTGAGTGCACAATGTTTCTGGAAAGATGCAACGTGATATACTTGTGAGAAGAAGGTAGATCGCTGCCAAGTATGCAATGTTTACAAAAGTATTTGCGATAATTGTATCACACAGTACACTTGATAATCAGTGACATAAATTTTTTATACAATTTTTTTTTTTAATACGTAGAAGAGCCAGTCGATGTCTTAAATTCTGTCACACTTGGTATTACTTTGATAAACCGACAGACTTACCAATATTCCATTAAAAAGCGCTTACTTATCTGCAATATCTCATCCAAGGCACTCATTACTCTTGTTCAAAAAAAGATAACCAACAGTTAGCTAAAACGTTATTAAAAAGGCTACACTAGCCTCTGCCTTGTCGCAATCTAAGAACTGATTCGTGTATTAATAAAAGCTTGAAAGATGCGGAGGATAAATTTAAATACACAAAGAGTTTTTAACTGATAAATAATTTATTAATAATAACGTTGTTTAGTTTTTTTGAAAAATAAACGTTTCAAACTCAAATGCGTGGTAATCTCAGTAAAAGATAATTTTTTTAATTTTCCTAATGCAACCTTTGCTTACATCTAGTTGACCTTTTTTAATGTAACAGTTTGACGATGCTTGTAGCCCTTTATTTAAAAGTTAAATAATATGCCTGACTTGGAGTTCCAAACGCTTAAACAATATTGAGTCTTACAAGATTCATGTTTGAAACACCGAAGCTTGATGTTTAAAGCTACAAGCGCTCAACTTAGTATTTTTGTGTTTCATACATTGTGAAGCTCAGTATTTGAACGTTCTTATGTTATATTAATAAAAGTGACAAAAATAAATTATTGTAGAGTTTATTTCAAAAATTAAAAAAATTACATTTTGAATAGTAAAAGGGCAAGGAATCAGCCATCCGTTGGACAGAAAGGAGAAAAAAATAACGACTTAACTAGTGTTTACTTTTCTTCCTAGTTTTGACTCAGCAACATTTTAATGGCTGTGTGTGCAAGCGTTATTTGGTTCAAATTACATACTAATTTTATAAACATTTCTTAACTAATAACGTACTTAAATAAGAAATATTGGGGAAACAAATACCATAGTATTGCACGTTATTGAAAACACATTGATATGTAAACGTTGAAATTTGTAATTATCGTTCTCACTCGTGAAATAAAGAAAAAAACGATAAGAAAATCATAGAGCTGTGGATAGTTACATAAAAAAGAAACTGTAGATATGTCGTTTGTTGAACATGTCGTTCTGCTCTTAGTTGTTTCCATGATGACTTGAGGGTCAGTGCCTAAGCACACGATCAGTAATAGCTAATTTTGGAAGTACGAATAAAAACTCCAAAAAATCAGGTGTTAGTTTGAGCAATGTTTCGTTGGTCTTAACGCCAATCTCGTCAGGCTCAGTCTGTATCGTTTAGATGATCGTTACAGATTGAAACGCTGCTTAAACTAACACCTGATTTTTTGAAGTTCTCATTCGTACTTCCAAATTAGCTCTTACTGATCGTGTGCTTAGGCACTGACCCTCAAGTTATCATAAACTGTAGATACCTAGGTCAACTAACTTTGCTTGCGGTCTTTGAATTTATGTAGTACTGGCGAGTATGCTACACAGTAAAAAACATCTTAGTAAAATTACTACGTTTAGCGTAGGAAATAATCTGACCTGTGCTGACCGTGGTATATTTACTACAGCAGTAGTAAAAATTCTACTGTGATAGTAAATTTACTTCCCACTTTGTAAGGCTAGAATTAAAAAGGAGGAGTAGTATCTGAGTTGTTTTTTTACTATTCCAATAGTAAATATACTGAAGTAGTGGTAAGTATGCAACGTATGCAGTAGATGGCGTGACCGCAATCGTAGTAAAATTACTAAGTTGCGGTGTACAATGATTTTTAAATCATATATATATATAGTGCTACTTAAATTATCAAGGCAACTTTTTAACAATATTTTAGTACTATCAAAAAAACTATAAACAGTCTTATGAATATTGTACTAAAGATACATTTAAATAAGCACTGTTTACAGAAAAAAAACATATAATTAGTACCTGTACTGTACATTACCTTATTTATTTTAAAATTGGCTGTGTTTATACATTAGCATATAGATTTATAATAATTCGACATTACTGTTACATGTTCAAATAAATAAATACGAATAAGCTTTTTATAATCAATACGCATAAAAAGAAATCTTAAATTTAAAGTATTGTACTTTCATACATGAAAATGAAGAAAAATATTTTTAATTTATGTGATCTTATAAATACTCAAATTAATACTTAATTTTGGCGTATAATGTAAATAACATTTAAATTTTTTTAAATTACGTTTAAAGTCTTTTGTTTAATGAGATTTTGTAACTGTTAATACTAAGAATGACTTATTTTTTGTAAATGCTTAGATTTATTGCTGCGCTACTTTTTATTTAAGGAGATCGATCACAGCACCGGTTGATGTCTATAAACTTTTAAGACATAAGCTAATACATTGTGTTATTCCTCTGTTTCTTCGTTATCAACCGATTTTTTCGGAACTCTGACAAGACTTGCAGATTGATATTTACCTTCTTTCCCTCAGTTATTCTTTTTTTTAAGATTATCAATTTTTTTTTCAAACGCCACTACTTTATCATGTACTGATTTTTTTTGTGCACGATTAGCGTCTTCCGGAACAATCTTTAAGTATCTGTACTGCAGAAACAGGAAAAAATGCTTGGCACCAAGAGGAAACGTTCGATTGAAACAGAAATAGGCTGCCATGAGGGATGTGAGGGCTTCTAAGATATTAAACATTTTAAATTCAATGAAGTGTTTATCCGCAATCAAATAACATATTTTCTCATTCAAACTTTGTAAACTTTTCCATAAATCACGTTCACCGTCAATTAATCCTCCTGAATATAACATACAAAAAGGCTTGTAATGAACGATAGTACAATTTTTACTTTGTTTGGAAAAAGTTACTCACCCTGTACAACTGTGTGTGGATGATCGTGAAACAGTGTAAATTGAAAGTGTTCCATTCCTTCCTAAAACAAAAGTATGTTTTAAAAAATCAATACTGATCTTCGCATATTGTCTTAGTATTTTTTATCTATTTAATAAATATTAAAACAGAACTTTTTTGTAGTTATAGAGATATAGACTTTAACAAGTTTTACTACGTGATAAAATGTATCCCTATTATTTACCGCAAACGAACATATTTAAATTATTGTGCAATCATATTAATATCATGCAATATATCATAAAGAACGAGAAATAATACCTGCATCAATAGGAATACCGTAAACGCATCCTCTTTGAAGTGCTCAAAAATGCATTGAATGCTTAATAAGTACTTATGAGTTTCCGACTCTGAATTTTCAGGAAAGATAACATACTGTTTTCGAGCTCCAAAATTAATGGTGTTTTCTACGTCAGCTATAAAATTGTCTTGTAAATCGAGTATAGATTTTTTAGTTAATAACTTGAAGCGGGAATATAAGAAATATGTATTTAGCAAACATGGCCACATTTGGCAAATATCCTCGATATTTGACGGGGTAACGAAATTATTAAGAAATTTACGCTGTGCTGCGTAAGATTTTGTCAATGCATTATCAAAAACATCAACGCTAGCTGCATCATTAATATTTAACTTATTGTATTCTAGTAGTAACACCCTGTTAGCTTCATAAGACTCCTCTGATTCTCCATCCAGATAAGTTGATGTTTCAAAATTTGGACAGCCTCCGCGAACTGCGTTGAATTTCCTCCTTTTACTTAATTGCACTGGCTCATTGCCAAAATCTTTTGTCAGTGATGAAATCTGATTTGGTCTATTCAGATTGTCATTGCGAAATTTTAATTTATTGACCAATGAATCAATACCATTTCCTCGACGGGATCCATCTTCGAAACGATCTTCAGAAAATTCTGGGTACTCGTCTCTCATTTTATTGGCAATTAAACGATACTCTACTAATTTCGGATACTTGGAAATACTTCTTATTTTTGTTACTGTTGCATGGACAGCCTCAGTTCTAACTTTTTTGTACAGACAGTCATTTGTACACGGAGTTTTCTTATCCAGAAGAGATTTAGTATCAGGATCGAGGATACCCCAGGGTACTTTAAAATGTCCAAAAGAGGCACTTTTTGTAGCAGAATCGCTGATAGGTTCTTTATTATCGCCAATTCCCGAGGAATTAATGTTACTGGGAATATTTTCTTGCACGTTACAGTGATTCAAACGTTGGTGTTGTGCCGTACGATTTATATCTGGCAGTTCTTTGTTAAGTAAACCCGCGGTCTGTGTGCTTGTGTTGTCGTCAGTTCTTGGATTCCATGACGCATTCTCCTCTAGTATTATGAAGGTTTCCTTGCTGAAAGCTAATATAATTTCATTGTCATCTATAGATGTTCCATCTGACTCTAGAACTATGGATTTTCCGTCAATACAAAATTTTTCGTTGGCTTTTTCAATCAATTTTTTCAGAGTGTCCAAATTCTCCTCGACCATAATCATGATTTTTTTATTGTGACAGGCTGACCACACTTTAAAGAAATGCATCTGAAAATTACAAAACTTAAGTTAACACCATATGATAATATCAGTCAGCGTATGAAGTAGTTAACGAATTGTTATAAGCACTGTTGTAAGTAATATACAGTTATTTATAGTAATCTATAGCAATAATGTCAGTTGATGACTATACATGTTTCAAAAAACTACAACACGCAAATTTTTTCCATCAATATTCATACGAAAATTTTAACAATGTTCAGTCTTATGTCCCTATCTATGTTTAACGTATTA